TTGAGGTTTGCCTGATGATTTGAGAAAATGATAATTTTAAGGCTCATGAAATTAAGAGGAGTAGCACATGTACCAGATATATAAAGTCAATCCGACCTTTTTGTATGCTTGACGGGAGCATCACTTTATAATTAACAGTATATAGATTAACACCTGTAAAGAGGAAATATTGATAGACCAAAATGATAGATTAGAGTTGGCAATATTTGAAAGAACATAGTGTCATCAAGCTGGCAGTGTTCTTGACTTATGTGAAAGTGGTCTGACCAATAGCTTAGGAAGTAAAAAGAAGATGGAAATAAAATTTAAAAAATCACTGACTTAGTAGTATGCTTTCTTGTGTGCTTTCAAGTGGTTTGGTGAAAATATGCTGTTTAGCTAAATAGAAAATATGCTAGTAACAACAGGACTGCATGGTTCTAACAAAATGCAGTCAACTCCTTGAGAAAAGTGGCTTGAATGACACATCGCTTGTATTGATCTACACGCATTGATTGATAACATGTAGATCTAAATAAATTGTAGCTCTTATGAGGTGAATGACAATTTCTTTTTGTTTTGTTTTTTAATGTTTTTTTTTTTTAGTCTGTAGGAGCATTAAGTCAATTCTCCCACTGTGTGCCATATAGGCTTATAGTTCTTCACATCATTTGTGATTGGATTTAGTAACTGCAACAAAAGGTTCCAGTGCCTAAAAAAAGATCTCAGGGGCTTTAAATGATGACAGATAAAGTTATTGTAAACAGGCGTCAAGGGTTGTGACTTCCTGGTTGTTTGGTGGGATTAAAGAGGCTAACAATTTATTTACAGGGAAAAACGAAAAAAAAAAGGCATTACCAAGACTGTGCTTATTGAATTTTTTCTGTTTTTTAGCTAATTGAACTCCCCTCGCTGATAAGCTCAAGTGATTAAAAAGATACTGAGGGAATACGTTTCATAGATGAACCAACTGATTGTATTGAGGCTCAAAAGATAGCAGCCTAAGTGACTGCCAGCTCCCCTTCCTCTTAGAGGAAGAAGTTTAGTTTTTTTTTCCCTTCTTTGTCTTGCTCTAAAAAGCATTCTTTCACAGGTGTCTGTCTGGAGTCATGTGGTGACAAAATGTATGGTTAATCAATATTAGGGTGGTGGCAGTGGTCGTGGAGATCTGGATAGGATCAAAATGCAAACCAAAACATCCAGTGCAGCCAATGTTTGAAGAGAGATTGAGTTTATCTGAGAGGCTGTATTGATTTTTGAAATGCTGTTTTTTTTCCCTAGGCCATTTCTAGCATGTTGTGTGCACTTTTATCAAAATGTAATTAAAAGAGTTTGGTTTGGTGATGGGGACTGTGGCCGAATCCACTGACAGTTGCCTGGACATTGTATCATTAGTATAACTCAATAACTTGAAAAGATTTCTGAGAAAATTCAGTTAATGGGGCATCTACCGATATCCACATTTTTAAATGTGTTTTAAAGACATCTAGTGCTGATGGGAAAATTGTATTAATTGCAATGATTCATGAATACACTGTATCTCTAGATGACTTATTTATTTATTTACTTATTTGTTTATTTATTCATTTATTTGGTCATCATTTTAAAAGGTCTGGCCTGTATTGATGGTTGTAAGAGTGATTCAATTAGAAGTAATATATAACAAAATCTTGGTTTTATTCAGGAATTATATTTGGAAGCCTGGCTTTATTCTGACTGATAATGCGAATGAGATGACATGACTCCCTTAAACAGACATTTAGGTATCTAATTGAGAGGAAAGTCGATCATACTCATGTAATTTAGATACGTATATTACAAGCACGTTGCACAATTGAATTAACAGCACTGCATTTGTGTCCCACTAATGTATCTGTTGTGCTGACTGCAATTTTATGAATTTGTGATCATAAGAACTGTACAAGGTCCTGGTTATTAAGGTTTTTTTTTTTTTTTTTTGTTACACTCCTATGCAAGATGTGGATTTGAAACCCTTTGGATGCCATGTTAAAGATTATCTTGATAATGATAACATATTTATTAAAAAATGATTGTTTTAAAAATGAACAAGCTTGCTTAGAGAAAAAGCAGCCTAGAGATGGATTTCATAAAATAGCTTAAGACCAAAAATCGGTCTTAACTGTTAGATCATATTTTTGGTCTATCTCAGTTCAGGATAAATATGTTGTAGTTCACTCAAATTTAACAATTAATTTTGTGTAAAATGCTAGCAATGTCTTCCTTATTTATTGTGTCAAAGAAGACAAAATACTGATCTTAAAGTTTATATCATCTTTTGGTTATAAGGGACCTGTTTCATTTAAAGAACTTATTAAGTCTTAGCTTAGCCTTCAGGCTTTGAAAAGGTGTTACAATCTCTCTCACCCAACTCACTTTTATTTGTCAACCTTGACTTGGCTTTTTTCCTTAATTTTTCATAGTGAAAGATTTTCACAGGGATACTCCAGACTGATGTATACTTCCTGGCTCGAAAGTTCAACTTGATTTCCTGCCACTTAGAGCTTGTATTTTATTACCAGTACCTTACTATGGGAGCAATCTAGCAAAACATGCACAGCAGACTTTTGTCTGACCATTTTACCCTCTCTTGGAGTATTTGAGCAGAAGGGTTTTTTTTAAAACTAAAATAAGGAATGAAGGACTTTTCTGGCCTTAAGAATATATATTTTGTATGAAGATTATTACTGCGATATCCATTTTCTTTAAATAAGTCATAAACCAAAGGATGGAAATTTTTATTCCCTACAGTGTTGTTCCAGCTTATAGTGTGCAGATATATACCCAAGCTTTTTATGGGAATAAAATGAATCAACAAGGTAGAAATGTCTGAGATTTTACATTTAGGGTGTCTTCAGGACAGGGACCAGTGCAATATAAAAAAAAAATATATATATATATATATATATATATATATATCAGAGAATTAAGTCAGTACACCATGAAAAAGTGCTCCACCCATGGTGGTGGCCTGTGGGGAGCTGGTATAATCAAGGATGTGAATAACTTAGCTTCCTTTCTCCATTTTATTTTTTTAAAAATGACCTACGGCTGTTTCGGCCCTGAGGCCTCGTCAGGGGCGAAAACAAAATAATATATAATTAGATATATTTTGGGTTACAGTAAATTAAAAGTGGTTTTGAAGTTAAGGTCAGTTTCCAGTCTTAAAATCTTTTTAGAGCGCATTCGGAACAGGAGACTAACAGATCCACGGATCAAATATGACTGACCAACTTGAATGCTTGTTGCGTAATCCCTGCAGGGAATCTATTCAGTATCTAATCGGGAATCAAGCCGCAAGCTTTTTTAATATGGGTCGCCATATTTGATTCAAGGATCTGTTAGTCTGCTGTTCTGAATGCGCTCTTAGAGAAATAGACCCTACAGATGCCCTTCTGTACCCCAGGGTATATTTTTAATTTTTGCATCAGCAGGATTTTTTTTTTTTTAGAGAGAGTTAAAGATAGAATCGGTTCCATGCCACCTGTAACTGGCAAGTAGATTTATTGCTAAGCATTCCACTGTTGAGAGAATTTTATGCATTTCTTAATAATGATCGACCATGCAGTCATAGAAAAATAGCGTCTTTTTTATTACAGTAAAGTGCCTACATTACTTTCATAATCTGGAATGAATAGGACATCTCTATGGTACAGAAATGTGGAAAAGTCTTCTTTCTAATGCCATGCATTTTCGACTACAGTGACAGACAAGAAAAATGATTGGGCATGAATGAAAAAGGCTGCCTGGAAATTGTTAGTATTGAACAATGGGACCTTTTAACATTGAAAGTTCTATTTTTATTTGGCGCTCCATCTCTAGTGTTTCGTTTTGAAAGATTGACAGCCTGATTAATAGCCTGGCATATTACGCAAGAGAATAGCCTAAACGGAGCTCCTGCAAGCGACATGGCCGATTAATAGCGATTATTATTATTTTTTTGTACAAGTGGAGGCTGTAGCTGGACTGAGGTGCACAATAATAGTCCGAATGTTCACTATAGAGCCTTACAACCAATGGACTTTTTTATGAAAAAGTGACGAAAATGATATGATTTTTTTAACCAAAGAAGCTTTAGACCAATGAACCTGCAGATCAATGAACTTATCGGACTATCAAGATGCACCCCCTGGATGTACCATGCACGTCCTTAAAGAATTCTAAAACATCATCATAATTATGGCACTTACCATAAAACACCAAAGAATAATTAGATATGGGCATATCAAATTGCATACATGCAAAATTGGCACCTGACAACGATTTACAGCCTCACAGGATTTTTTCTCTGATGTTCTTTGTTGTGCTGTCGGTTGATGCAGCAAGTTATTAGGAAACAAGTTGACTGAAAATAAGCACGATTTTGCACCTTCAACCTTCGTGACACATTTTCATACGATGTATCCTGTATTTCAACAAGTATTCTCTGCTCAAAATTCCAAAAGAAAAAAATGTAATCAAAACAAGCGGTCGAAAATCTGCTTAAACTTTGCACTCATGGCTCCCTTCCCACGTACCTCTAGCTAAAATGACCAGGCAGCTTCACGACTTATACCGCTCAATGCATATATATATGACCTGCACTTCTGGCACAATCCTGTCTCCCCTGGTGCCCTTTTTTAAAATCTTGATTTTCTTGGTAGAAGGCTCACCTCAGGGTTTTTTTGGTTACATTGGGCAACAATTTCATAAAAATACCATCACATTCACATTGTATGCAGTGATAACAGTTTTACTCATCAGTGTTTGTTCTGTTTTTGGCTCTAGGTAGGAGTAATGTTGTAGCAGGGGCAACAAGACCTTTAAAACCTATTAATGTCACTGTAATAGCATTTGCCATGATGACAGTTATTTCCTATGTAATGGCCTATGATTTTTTTCTCCAGTCGAAGTTATGCGAAAGCAGTGCGTAACAACCACTTTGAAATCCAATGTTATGATATTTGCAGTAATAGCAGTATGTATATGGAAGACTAGCTTGTGATTATTTCTCTTATTAGTTGTAGGCTGAAGTGATGTCATAGAAGTGGGCTGAAAGGCGTGGCGTCCACAACTCTCTCTCCATGGTCAGAGCAGCCGAGAAGCGCAGCATGGCTTACAGATACAAGCGCCACGATGCTGGCTCAGCCAATGGACAGAGTCATGAGGATAATCCCAACTGGATGACTTACAAAAAGGTGAGTGATTCATAACACGGTTCGGAGAATAGAATCCTGAAAATAATGACAAATAGCTGCTTTCCAAATTACATTCAGTGAAACACTTCATGTTATTTCAACATGAAAATTTAGATGGGTATTTTGTACTTAACAAGTCATTGCTGCAATAAATTGACAAAACTATCAAGAGTGTCCAACTGGATGAATTATAAAAAGGAAATGCTATATTATCAACAGGCAAAACTGGATCATATTTATATTAGAAAATAAAATAACTTCTTCCATTCTTTTGCCCTACTTCTGTTTTGCCTTCAGGGGTGCCCAACACAAATTTAAAATGATGCTTTAATAATAATAATAATAATAATAATAATAATAATAATAATAAAAGTTCTTCTTCTTATTATTATTATATTGAAGTAAGCTAATTATGCAAGTTGTACCATTATATTCTAAAATCAGACAGATTATCCAAATTGCATCTTACAAAAGTTGTCACTATCATAAAAAAACACAAAAGTAAAATATAATAAGTTTTTAAGTTTTTATGCATAATTTGCATACAAAAGATGAAGTGATGATAGCATCATTTTCATAGATGATAATTTCAACTGGAAAATAACAAAAAAACAGTCCATAATTTCTAGAATTTGTTATCAGCAGTCAAAATCAAAGCAGTTTTGTACTTGTAAATAATTTGCACATAAAAGAGAGTGAGACGATGATTTAATTACCTGGTATGTACAGAACCAATGGTGTGCTTTTTCAGCCCTAACAACTAATTTCTCTAGAGACTAAAGTTTCAGTATGTGCCAACTCGTCAAAGGGTTTGGTATTCTGGCTGTCTTACAACGTGGTGATACCAAGTTTGAGTTAAGCATGTATACGCACATGGGGTTCAGCTGTATGTAGCCATACACACATACACACACACACTACATTAACGATGCAGTGATATGTGATCATTTGACTAGCCAAGATGGCCTCCTTATATTTGTCCCATACCCATGTACTTGATATTTTTATGCAGAAATGGCCAAGGCACATGTACATGCATGCTGCATTTTTTAAAGATCTCAAGATGGCTATAGATCCTATGTGACAAAAATATAGCCATTTTGTAATATCATAGTTGTAAGTAATTGTTCAATTAACACATACTTATCTATCCTTGGAAGTAGGATTGTGGTATTTAACAGCAGATTGGTAATTTAGTACCTAGGGCTGTTTTGATCACAGCGCAGATTTAGGCATAGCAAAGACTGATCAAACTATGCTAGGTTGTATATCACAAATGATTTTAAATGCAGCTTGCATCCAAATTTTCAGTTTTTTTTTTTAAGTCTCAGCACTTATTTCTGCATTCACTGGTGACAATAACCCATTTATTAGAAATACATCTATTGTATACCATGCATGGTACCATTGGTCTTTGACAATTAGAACAGTCCAGAAAGAATACTGTGGTATGAGAACCTGGCGTAGATAAAACATCATAAGCTTTTGCTGTCATTTCTCAGTATACATATTGAATATAAACCCGCTCTGAGGTGAAGTACCAGAATTAGGGATGTAATTGTCAAACAAGTTATTGACTAAGTATGGACTACTGTAGAAAAAAGAAAAGCCTTTGCCTGCTTGGGGCTCTTTTATTCCCAGTAACAGAGCGTTCATCATGGAAAAGTGCCAGGGAAATGCCGCATCTGGGAAAGTGTAAGGTACCAGGTTCAAAACATATTGTTTGCCTTTTTGAATGTTTTTTGTAGTTTCAGTGCCATTTACATTGAAATATATTTGAAATAAATCATCCAATGCAAATTTTCACTTGTTATGGGAAAAAGTTATTCAGGATACATAAAATGGTAAAATACACGTTTATGTTATTGAAAAGTAAACTGGTTAAAAACTGTACAATGCACAATCTTTGAACCTCTGTAATTTTCGTAGGCAAATTATTTGGAAAATTGGAAACAAAAAGCCATTTCTGAAAATATGTTAAAATTGCTGTGAGCTATATGCCATTTTCCTTTTCTTGACAAGAAACACAGGAATCTTTGCTATAAATCATTTTCATTATTAAACCATCGAGATAACTTCTTTCATAGGAAAAAAACACTGAAACATGTAATCAGAATAACATGAAGTGTTTCACTGAATGTAATTTGGAAAGCAGCTATTTGTCATTATTTTCAGGATTCTATTCTCTGAACCGTGTTATGAAATGTTTGAAAGTGATTAGTTGCACTTCTCCTTGTATTTAATAAAGAAAGTCTGTAAAAATAATGGATCAGGTAAATGTTTTCAGATGATAGAATAATTTTATATCAAGTTTAAATTGTTTCAGTATCAATTGTAAGAGAGGGGAAATGAGAGGAAGGGTGTTCTTCTATATTTATCTTGGAATGTTATATTTGTACGTATATTTGAGTCATATTTGAGACAGTGTTCTTAAATAACTATGTGAAGTTCACTCTTTGGTCATTTGGCAAATTCTAAGAACTTAATTAGCTCACTGCCAAAAATTCTAATCACCAGTGACTTGTACTGGACTTGCCCCTTACATGACCTGGTGGTAATTAAGATCAAGGTCTGTGTGCTACAAAGGTTTTTTTTTTTTTTTTTTTTTGTAATTAACTATCAGTATCTGAGTTTTTTTCCCCCAATTCCAAATTGAAAAGAGATGCCTTATAGAAGATATTATTTTGGTCAAAGCAGGGAGTTCTGGGAAACAATTATCTTGAATTCCATATTGATGGCATTAATTTATACTTAGGAAGAGGTATTTTATATAGCTCATACACCTACTACCTTTTTTATGTTCTCTAGAACTTCTGCCCTCAATACTTGTTATAAGCCATTATTTGTTCTGATTTTCAACGTTTATTCATGGGGAGGGGGGGGGATACATCTTTCTATCAGATCATCTCTGACCAATTACCTGTGTATGCTCTGGACCCAAATCCTGTCGCACTATGGGGAGTGGGGAAGAGGTTGAAAATATATTCACACACACACACACACACATGCATGCACGTTCACATGCACACACACACACACACTAGACCTGTGATTCTTTTTCACTCTGATTGCCCTTCATCCATCAAAAAACATTATGCACTATATGGAGAGCTGGAGTGGGGAAGGGGGATTGTGTTCACACTCCAGGGGTACATTTGGCCTTGTGTTACTCAGGTGCACTGTGAACAACCTTTGTCTACTATGGGGAGGTCCATGTGTAAAGATATACCTCCTCCTACTCCCCCCCCCCCCCTCAAGGCCCTTCAACTCACTGTCCTTGTATAGCTGGTGTACTCCAAATGCTCTCTATCCTCTATTAGTTCTAATGGCATTGATTGAAATTGTAGCTTCCAGATAACTGCAAGAGGCATCGATCTGCTAGCACATTTGAAATAAGTTTCCATGAAACCATACATGTAGCAGCTTTTTCCTTGTTGTGCTGTTTTTAGGTACTGTCTATTTCTTGAAACATAATTTGATTTCATACGATTCAAAGTTTATTAATTTTATTTCATACACGTAATAGGTATGATAAATGATTGCCACTTACATTTAGGGTTATTGCATGTATTGTAGTAATTTTTTAAAGTCTTCTATTATTTAACAGATGATTGATAAACTTTTAAAAATTATTTCTGATAATTTTTTAATTGAAAACCAATTCCCTTTTTACATTACTTCCAAAAGTCCCAATCTGTTCAAAGTCAGAAGAACAGCACATGTGATAATTTTTATCAATAAATGTTGATTTGATTAAAACTCCAAATAGGTAATGATATATATTATTCAGTGCATTCCCATCTTTTTTCCATCCTTCCTTGCCCTCCTATATTCATACAGCAATCTTGTTAGGTTTCAATTGTATTTTAACCATAATCATAATTGACTGGATCTCTGTAGGGAATAGTAATAATTGTCACATTTCATTGGTATTTATTTGGTAAGACAGCCAAAATTGCCATTTCTTGACTTTCTATGAAGCGATTACTGGTGTATTCCCTCAAAGTTACAAGGCATTTGCCAGCTGTGTGCCAAACTGCCATCCAAAGTTAATACAGTGTATGTAGAAAGCAGGAATGCCAAAATACCAGATCAGTATTCATGTGGTGTGATCGTTCGTCTTCCCCCCTTTCTTTTCAAACCACTAATGTTGGTGGTGTTATTACACAGAAAAGCAGTCTCTTTGATTATCATTTAGATAAATACAAAAATGGCATGTCTGCTTTCTGTTATCTTCAAGTGCCCAAAAAATATGGCGATTGCCATGATGTGTAAAGCTAGTATTTCCATGTATTGGATCTGTACATGTAGAAATCATGTTGATAAATGTTTGTTTTTCTCCTTGCATTGAAATTACCTATAATATATTACCATCACACAGACTTGTAATGACCCAAATTAAAAGGATGTCTACTTAGTACTTTTCATTTTTAGACAAATAGAAAAATTGCTTCAATCGGTTGTCTCCAACACTCAGTCTTAACAATGGAGTATTAAATAACATGTAAAAAAAATAATATGGTCTGGAACTTCTTCAGAGTGCTTCTTTAATGTTAAAGAAATGAGTGAAATAAGCAGCAACTACCACCTCATTTGATTGCGAGATTCTTTTGTATGTCTCCATCAAGTAGCCTTAGTCTTATTGCATATTAATCAGTATGCCAGTGTGGACAAGAATGTGAAATATTTGAGAACTTTTATTTCTCAGAGAAAGGTGACCCTTCTATAACTTAAGTTTTGGGTGAAGAGATTCAACATTTTCTTTCCTTTGTTTCCTATTCATTTCACGCACGAAGCATTTTTCATTATTTTAAAAAGGAATAAACCTGAGTCACATACAACTGTTCTTGGATATCTCCGTATGAAACAAGCATGTTGCATTAGAGTACATGTACCCATAATCATGTGTAATCGTATTGTCATCTACTTCGTGGGCATTAAACTTCCGCATATTGTGCAAATATCCATTGCTAGTCCAAATGGGTTTGAATACCCTATTATCGCTGGCAGTCTAGATCAAGAATGCCTGCCGTCATCCATGCGAATAATAAGTACACGTATAGCCTATAGCTGATGAATTGTATAATTTACTATTATTATCTGTAAGCTTAATGATGGGTTGAAGGTATTTAAGGACTATGAAAACTGGATATTATTTTATCATTTCGAGGAAAGAACTTGATGATGCTCAGATGCATACAGTGAAATAGTTCAGCTTCCTGTAGCAGATGGTGCATATGAACAACAGCCTCGATGACTGGGTTCCCATAAACCTGTCATACTAGCAGGATCGATCTAAGGTTCTTCTCTTTAAATTGCATTCAGTTTAAGCGGCTCAAATATCTGTCATGCCCACTGAAGCTGCTAGGGTGCTAAATAACTTTCGTGCACACTTCGAAATCCCCTCAGAGAAATTCCCCTCAGAGATAGATCGATCCTGCTAGTACAGTAGGATTATGGGAATGGTCCCTATATTGAATTCAGTGCAAGACCCCTCTCTCCCTCTCCATGTTGTTCTGTAGTTATGAAAAGGCAGGAATCATAAATCATCTCATAGTGTCTGATAATATAATTGGAAGGTCTGGATCGCATCTGACTGTAAAATCAATAGTTAAATAGAGAAAGGAAAGGGTCTTCTTCTGCGAGAGCCATTTATAGGACGGCACTATGCCATTTATGAGATGATTGCACAACAAGGAAAATCTTTGTTGAAAAACATATAGTATACTTTGAAAATTCATTTGGGTATTTTTCAATGATCATAAGATCGTTTTTCAATTTAGGTGAGGTCAACTTTTCTATGTATTACGTTCTTGTTCAAAATTTTATTTGAAAACCATGTGCCAGATGATACTTGTATGCACAGTACTGTATTCAATTGCTGAATGACACATCGGTTTGTCAGTCAAATTAATACAATTCAGAATTGATTATCTGAGTGGATGGTTCATGTGTTGGCTCCCTATTAGGTATATGGGATGTTGTGGGGGGAAATATGAAGCCAATGGAACTTGTCTGGGTGATATTAATTTTATAAGCTATTCACCTGTAGTATATCTTTGAAACTTTTCCTTGTGATTTTGAATTGTAGTTACTTATAAAAAAGCCTGAAATGAAATGCAAAATGTCCACAGCTTCCCCTTATTTATTAATTATTAATTGTGAAAAGGATAACCAGTGTTCCCTGTAACATTTCTATCTGTTCGGTGTTTGTAAACATGATTGATTATCCACTAACAAATTATTAAACAAGCCAAGAAAGTAACTTGCAAGTTAACAAGAATTAAAGTATTTTCTGCATCTTTGATGCAAAAGGAATCAATGAATTTCACATAATTTAAGATTTTTGTTGCAGTGTAGTTTTGGCATCGGGGAGATCCCCCCCCATTTTTTGTCACTTTGAATACTTGTTGACAACTTGTATATATACTCTTTTGTTTTTTAACCACAATATATTTTTTCTTTCATTTTGATACCAATGATCTTTTCAGATGGAGGCCATACTAGAGCGCATGCAAGATGAACAGACAGGTGTTTGCGTTAGAACAGTCAAAAGTTTTATGACAAAAATTCCGAGTGTGTTCACAGGTAAGGGCAGTGACTCAAGTTTCTCTCTAGTGTGGTGAATCTTAGTTAATCTGATATATTTCATCATATCTCACCCAACACAATGAGATCAGCAGTCCCATTTTCAACCTAGAATCTCCTCCTTTTTTTCTCTCCTAATATAATCAGGAGAGTACATCCACTTCTCTTGTGATGGCCTCATTTCTTATCTAACACAATCCCACCCAACACAATTAAAAAGTGCATCCACTTTTTTATGTGATGGTCTCATTTCTTATCTAATAAAATGAGGAAAGTGTACCCATTTTATCCCTATAACATAACGAGAAGAGTGATGCATTTACTTCTCATATGATGGCCATTTTTCTTTATCTAACACAGTGAGGTTTGTGTACCCATACTCCCCTAACACAATGAGAAGAGTGCATCCACTTCTCATGTGCCTTATTTATTATCTAACACAATGAGGATAGCATACCCATTTTTACTAACACAATGAGAAGAGTGATGCATCTACTTCTGATATGATGCCCTCATTTCTTATCTTACTCAATAAGGATAGTGTACCCATTTTTACCCATTAAAACGATGAGAAGAGTATATCCACTTCTCATGTAATATCCTCATTTTTTATGTAAAACGGTGATAATAGTGTACCCACTTTAATACATCCTGATTTCCCATGATTTCACATTTATACACTGTGATCAGCTTGTCCAGTACTTATAACTTTTGTTACTCCTTGATTCTAAATCAATGAGAACATTGTTCTAATCTTATTCTGGGTAAGGTACATGTACGTTAATTAAAACAACTTGGGGCCAAAATATTAAAGTTGTCACATTGTCTCCCACATTGACAGTTTAGAGTGCCACAATTCCATTTAACACCAGAAAATACTCCCAAGAGTCCCACATTTATATTTAAACTATGAAGCCACATTCGAGATAAATATTGCCTTTTTGTCGTGTGTTTGTGTATGTGTGTGTGTGTGTGGGGGGGGGGGGGG